GATTCTAACTTTCTAGAAGAAGTGAGAAGAGGAACGAGAGAGAGAGAGAGAGAGAGAGAGGACTCACCGTCGGTCCGCCGGAGTTCACTGGTTGCGTCGGTGACTGTTCGCCGGTTCTGTCTGCCTAAGAGTGTGAGGTTGCACCGGTGAGTGTTCCACTACTGAGATGAGAGGTTCGGCTAGAAAGAGAAGAATGAGAAGAGAGGAGTTAGGAACTTAGGATATTTAGGGTTTTTGATTTAACCTAAAAGTCGGGTCGGGCTGGGCTTTTTTAACAAATCCCGAGCCCGGCCCGTAAAATAATCGGGCTCAGGATTTTAGGCCCAAGGTCAAGCCCGCGGGCTTAGACCTGTGTTCAAGCCCATCCGGGGGCTGGGCCAGGCCGTCGGGCTACCCGGCCCATGAACGCATCTAATTACAATGGATTTCAATTTCGATTTTGACTACAAACCAAACAAGCTCTAAAATTTCTAAGAAGCCTCCAAAGGAGCAACCTGTGTTTGGGAAGTACACAACTTCCAAACCTTTCTAAGAAGACCAAGAAGATTAACATTAAATCTCTCCCAAATATAAAAATAAGTAGCATTAAGAGTGAGGGTCCTGGACTTTGCAAAGGACCAAAAATGTTAACAATCTTCTCCATGTCCCAATGGCCTCAAGAATATTTCTGAAATTTTTTTAGGACAAAATTTACCCCTTTACATTTAAATTTATTGATAAAAAGTAAAGGCAAATAGGGCAATCAATTATTGATATTAAATGAGTTGAAAAGAGGTAATTTTATGATATTCAATGCATTCAATAATTCCCTCTCAATAAATCCAATGTTTAATTTATTAACTTGCGTTCATGTTCAATGAATCTTATATTTAAGTTATTTTTGTTTCTTCTCATCATTAAGTTCTATTAATTAAATCCATACTTAATAAATTAATAATTCCAATAACATAAAAGCTTATACTCTTAAAATCTACCTAGAAAAAATAGAGTTTTACCGCCCACCATTATTCTTCTTCAACCCCAATATAGGTTATTTCTCATATAAGCATGCAAGAAAGTGACATTAACGGAAATATTTAGGGCCCGTTTTTTTGAGAAGATTTTCTTGTAGCTCTGACAGTCAATAGATGCATTGAGCTTTTGACATAAGATATAGGCAGCCTGAAGACCGTTTGGCAGATGTGCGTCTTTCTGTGCATCGTTTTGGGTCTTTCTATGCGAGATTAAAACGTGAAAGACGCGAGAAACTTCATTTGGAGCTTCCCGAAATCAATCCAAAATGGGCTTCACGCGTCTTTTCGGCACTGCATCTTTTGGCGGCTAGATCTTCTGTGTGCCAAATGGGAATAGACCAATTTTCGGTCTTCCTAACTTGTAAACAACCGAAAGACCGTGCAAAAAGACGAGCCAAATGGCGCCTTATCTTTCATAGCTCTATCCTATAAGCTTTCTTCATCATTATAGAGTCTCGAAGCTAGCTTTGCCAGAAGAGCAAGATTGAAAGAGTGAGCACTGAGTTTGTTTTTTCTACCTTTGTCGTCCCATAATTTTTTTTTTCAATGTCCTTACAAATTTGTTTTGGGATCAAGAAACAAGACATGCGTAGGTATGGTAGTTGATGATGGGTAATTTGGCCTTTTAGTAATATTATGCCACGTGGCAAGTCCAAACCGCTTTTTGACACCTTAACGCCACATGTGGTCAGACCTCATCCGACTAGGCCAGCCTAAAACCAGCCTCTATGAATTGGACCTTAACCAAGGGGAGACTTATAGACCACTTGACAGTAGCCCAGAGCATGCCACCTTAAGTTGATGATTCAAGCGACTGACCTATCTTCTCGACCTAGGCAACTAACGACCTGTGTGGTTAGCCGACCTACATGACATGTCCAACCTCCTCCACTCGCCTAGCATATCAGTTCCAAAGCACACTACAACACATTGCCTACCTAGCAAGTGATGAACCTAGTTTTGTCTGCTTCAGGAGGAACCATATGACGATCATCACAACATTGGTACAACATGCCCTGGAGATAAGGGCTAATAAGGCTTATCGTTCCCGAATATCTCGGACAAGTCACTCGGGCCCCAATTTCTATATAAAGGTACCTTCAAACCTTCACAAGGTATGCATGATTTCATGCAAGTTAGCTCTCTTACTTTCTAAATTTCTCTGCTTTCTTGTTCTCTAACTCGATTAACTTAAGCATCAAAGTGCCTAGCCCGGGTCCAAGCCCCCAGATACTCTGATCCTCTGTCTCTTATAGATCGGTATATTGACCTCAACATCCATACATTTGAGTTGTCCTCCAGCAATGAAGTTGGGCGGTTCAAGCTACATCAATAGTGATAACAAACTTTAGCAAGACTTCATTCCCAACTTGGGAGAGATAAACACCACTCCACTATTTTCCACTCTCTCTTTGAGGTAGTCAAAGAGCTAACATTTTTTCCTTCCTATATTCAGGTAAGAACCAAAATAAATAGAGGGATTTTCTACCTTTTTCAAGTGGAGATAATTGGCCACTAATTTTTTATTTTTTTTTCTTTTCTTTTTTTTTTTTTAGTTTGGGATGAAGGTTTGAATTGGGTCTAACTTTAAGTAATTGACTTGCTATCTTGAGGCTCTTTCATAAAGAGCTAGGGCTTCCATTAAAGCATTATCTTCATTTAGATTGGCTTCTACGAAGATGTAGCTATCATCCGCAAAGAATAAGTGAGGTATTATTAGGGATTGTCCACAAATTTTTACTCTAGTGATCCTTTTTCTTCTACCAACCAATTTAACAACATTGGAAGAACATCTAAGCAAAGGAGAAAGAGGTAAGGGAAGAGAGGGTCCCCTTGTTCTTAACCCTCTATTAGGCCTAATCCTTTTTGTAGGCTTCCCATTAATCAATAATTGATAAGATATTGAAGTTATGCATTTCATAATCCAACCTCTCCACTTTGACCCCAAACCCATCTTCTCCATAGCTTTGTCTAGAAAGACTCATTCAATTCTGCCATAAGCTTTGCTCATATCAAGTTTTGCTATCATGTATGATGCTGGGGATTTGATGTGCTTTATAAAATGCATGATCTCATGAGCCAATAGTATATTATCAGTAATTGCTTTGACAGGGATGAAAGCACTATGATTCATCGAGATTATCTTGGAGAGAATCTGTTTTAGTTTATTATATAGGATTTTTGTAACAATTTTGTAAATAGTGTTGCACAAACTGATGGGTCTAAAATGGGAGGCCAATTCGGGGTTCTTGACTTTTGGTATTACGGCATGAAGGTAGAATTAAGATATAGTTAGAGAATATCCTCCATAAAGAAATGATGGACAGAATTTTATCTTTAAAGTTTTAGGCTCAATTAGAAAGGAGTACATATAGAAATATGTAGAGTGCAAAACCTTGTATTTTATATGAATTTTGTACCATACAATATTTACACTCTTTCCAAGTCTGGTGAGTATGATGTAAAGATGGGTTACAGATTTTTCATGGCAACTCAAGCATATTCCTCATATGGAAGTGCAAAGTCCCTATGAGATTCCAAATCTTTATGTGGAAGGCCAGGTGGAATGGCATGATAAACTGCACTTTCTAAATGAAGAAGAAAAGAAATGTTCCTTGTGCCAAATGACCATAGAGACATGGCAGCATCTTTTCTTTGATTGTACTTATTCTCATGCAGTGTGGATATCAGCTTCTTTGGGCATAAACCCAGAGCAAATTCAGAACAAGGTGCTACACGTCTTCATTTTTGAATGGATAGAATCCAAGTTAAAAGAATTAAACAAAGAGGATAAGCAGGTTTTCATCGCCAAGTTCTTTGTCCTCTTCAGACTTATTTGGGATGTGAGGAATGCAGCTCTGTGTAAAAAACCCGTTTTGAATCCAGCCCAGCTGATAGAAACTATGCATCATTTCTTACCAGCAAGCTTAGCTATGCAAAACTCTCACCCATGTTTCATGCATTCTCACATAAACTCATCCACAAAATATAGAATATTCATTGATGGTTCTTTTATATCAACATCTGTAATGGCAAGAGCAGGAGCAGAAATTCTCTCGACAGATGATGCTACAATATTCTCAGGAAGCAGAAGAGTTGCTGCATCCAACTCACTCCAAGCTGAATGGTGGGCCCTCCTACATGGCATACAATATGCCCACCATTTGAATTTAAAATCTCTATCCATATTTTTTGACTCAGAAAGCTTAGTCAGCAATTTCTACAGAGATGATGATGACTGGCTCATACAGCCTATAACGCAGAAAGCTCTACATCTGTTATCTTTTTTTAATATAGTTTGTGTAAACCATGTAAGTAGAGACATGAATAGGTTTGCTGATGAACTAGCATCTAAGTATAGCATAGTAGTAGAAAAAGACCCTTTCGTAATGAAGTTCCTTGATCTTTTCTATGTTTCTTTTTGGCAAAAAAACTAAGCCTTAGTAGGGGGTTCATTTTGTTTTTGTAAATAGGTCTTTGTCTATTCCTGCTCATGTGATGGCTTGGAAGGGCAACTCTTTTGTTAGGAAGTTATTGCCAAAAAAAAAGCCTAAAGATGCTTTAAGGGATGTGTTCATTTCCTAAAACTAGGGGTAATTGATTACCCTTATCAACAGGAAAAAGGCCCATCCCTAACAAAGGAAAGCTCTGGCCTTCGCCCTTACACCATAGCTCAGGCATCGCAAAGAGTGACAGAGCCACAGAGGAACAATTCATGCTGGCCCACAACTCCAAGCTGATGTTCCAGGTTCACGGATATTATTTTAGGGTCGCCTTCAAAAGAAAACTCCGACTTCATTCATCCACCACATGGACCATGGTCCATTCCATTAGCTTACAAATCTAAGTTATCTTGGATGAAACGTATGTGCCACGTGTTCAGCTCTTTACCCATCCATAGTTCCACGTAGCCTTCTTGCGTAGCTTGGGCTAAAATCTATAAATGTTTAAAACCATAAATCACAAACGCCAATGTGTTGATGCGGCCCCTACCTTTAATTGGATGAAATGGCGTTATATTCCATCATCAAACGGAATTCTTATTCTTGCTCCTGCCTGTGATCTCGTCCACAATCCATATAATGGCAGTTCTGTTATTCTAGTTTACAAGTCTGGTCATTTTTATCGTCTCCCGATTCTCCTCCCCTCAAAGGCTCAAACAACACCTGCCCACACACATGAAACATTGCAACTTCCTCTGTCTTCACTCTTCAGTCTACTCTTCGCCACTGAGAAAGCAGCACAGTCTCATCTCTGCAGCATCGTCATCATCTCATCTCAAATGGCGCAAGATGGCAAACGCCCCCTCAAAATCATAGCTGGTGCCGACTCCTTCGGTTGCACTCTTAAGGACTCTCTCATCGCTCACCTTCGATCCCTTAACATCGAAGTCGAAGATCTCGGCACCGGCAAATACTACTCCGTCGGCGAAGAAATTGGTCGACGAGTCAGCTCCGCTGCCGCCGACACCAACACCGAAACCCGCGGCCTCGTTGCATGCGGCACTGGCGTCGGCGTCGCCATCTTCGCCAACAAATTCCCTGGTGTCTATGCCACCACTTGCGTTTCCGTCGACGAAGCCCGTAACACTCGATCCATCAACAATTGCAACGTCCTCGCCGTCTCCGGCATGTCCACCCCCCCTGAGTCCGGCATCAAAATCCTCGAGACGTGGCTTGAAACTCCTTTCAAATCCCCCTGCCCGGCCTCCGGCAACAAGCCTTGGCCTTCGGATATCGAGAATTTCTTTGACAATTCGATTGCCGAAATGTCCAGCATCGGAGCCGATCAGGCCAAAAGCGAGAAATTCGATACTTGCGCAATATGTTGCCTGGCGAAGAATAGGGAATTCGCTCCGGTTGATATAATGCCGGGCGGATCTATGAAAATTGTGCGTGAGAGCCCGACATCGGCGATCGTGAGGTTTAAGGCGGGGAGCGTGGAGCCGGCACATCACCACACATTTGGTCATGATTTGGTGGTGTTGAAAGGGAGTAAGAGAGTTTGGAACTTGACTAAGAATGAGAAGTATGATCTGGGAGTTGGGGACTTCTTGTTTACGCCAACCGGCGATGTTCACCGAGTGAAGTATTTTGAAGATACAGAGTTCTTCATTCGATGGGATGGGCACTGGGACATTTTCTTGGACGAGGACTTGGAGACCGCTCGAGCTGCCATTGACAAGGATTAAGGTGTGTCTCTTTAGTTACTAAGTTCTTCTTCTCTGCTACTTCTGTTGTAGTAGCTGTTGTTGCATATGTACTTCTTACTTGGAATAAAGTAGTTCTAAGGCTTCGTTATGGAAGTGTTGAATAAGGTAGTTCTAAGGGTTTGCTATGGAAGTGTCACAGTGCGTGTAGCAGAAGCTGAATTGAAGAACCCCATATTAGACGACGCTTCCGTTTTCAGTTATTTCTTTTTGTATTTGCTTTAAATTAAATCCTTTGTGAGAATTGGATTAGTTGCTGGTATGGATTTAATATATGATATTCTGATTCGAAATTGGTTTGGCTTACAAGAAGTTTGATCATCTTACATCATCATATATGGTCTGACAATGTTAAACAGAACATATGAAAAACAAACTAGAATTGTAGTCACGGTGATATGTTGCATTTTATCGTCATTTTAGAAAAGAAAGAATTGGTTTGCTGTTGGATTAGTCTCATAATCAACTAGTAACTGCAGTGCTTTTCCTTTTTGGACTTCACAGTTGCTGGTGTAGGGTTTTCCAGGGAAAAATGTAAAACCACTGATTGAGAGGGGAGATTTGGCATTTGAAACACTGAAGTATCACCCTTATGGCCTTATATCTGAAACTAACATAGAAGCAATTATTCTCCTTTTGGTGCATTTGGTTTAGGCCTCTGATCTGCTCCATCATTGGGTGTGGCAACTGAGCTCCATATAGAGTTGGGCAAGGATGAGAAATATAAATCTGTTCATTGGAGGGGGGGGGGGGGTTGTAGTTTCTCGAAGACTGAAATATTGTTACTTATGTCTGAAACTAACCAATAGAAGCGGTTATCCTCCTTTTAGTCCATTTTTTTTGTTTTTGTTCTTTTTTTTTTGGGGGGGGGGGTAAGATTTTAGTGCATTTGGTTAGGCCTCTGCTCAAGATAACTTATATGTGAAGTCTTTGAATTGAAAGAGGAAACAGTGAGGGTATCTCCAAATGGAGAAGCAAGACCATTAGACCAATGAGAATACATGGCTGGACAAGGTGCTGGATACACAGTTTACCTTAACAATTGAATTATCTGACATGAAAGACACCTTTTTACAGGTATCTGGGATTTTTTTTTGATAATTAAGGTATCTGAGGATTTTTTTTGATAAGGTATCTGGGGATCATTAATAGTAAGACAACGGGAAACCAATTCAACAAGAAGGAAATGAGAATAGTCTGGAAAAAATCATGTACCTAGTTTGATATAGCACGCTGCAATCTTCTCTAGTCACTACTGCAGGCTACCAACATCAAGGGATTAAATCATTAAATTCTTTATCATAAGATAAATAAATCATCAAATGAAGGTTTTTCTTGAAAATAAAACGTAGAAAATCTGACCAAATTCTGACTGAACAATCTCTTAAAATACGATCTCCAATGGGACCAACACATGGGGATATATTAAACTGTAGAAGGAAGAAAAAAAACTTGACAAAATATTTTGATGGATTATTTTCTTCTCCCATTCTCTGTTTTCAAGAGGAAAGCTTTTCTCTCCTCTTATTTTCAAGAAACTTGCTAGTCTAGCATAGCTTGTGTTAGTGATAGGAAAAAGAAATGGGCCAAGAAAAAGACCCAGCCATAAGAACACGGGCCAGCAACCTATATTTGCAGCTCACATGTCAGACAGCCCATGCATTAGGCCCATTCCAGCAGTGATGACCATCTCAAGTTGGGCCCTTACAGATTCTCTCAATCAAAGATTTGATTTGGCATCATGTCTATGGAAGATTGAAAAGGATATTTTATATTGTTTCTTTTCTTTGTTTAGTTTGATTGAGAGTGGGAGAGTATCTTAGATTTTTATTTCTTTCCTTGCTTATTTACACTTAATTAGGAAGATAATTATATTGTACATTTCAAAAAGGATTAAGTGCTCATCTATATATACCATTGTATCAACTGCTTTGAGAGGATGGATGAATGAATTTTGAATTGCTCCTGCAATTTTATGGTTTGGTCCAAGCTTATGAAGGTGCTAATTCCTAGAGGAACCTAATGGTGCTGACTTAATTAGGACCTCTCTCTTATTTACTGTTGTTAGCTTAGTTCTCTCCTGAATATTTTTCTATTATATCTATCTCAAGATTTCAAGTTTTTTTTTTTTTTTTTCTTTTTTGTTATTGTTCTACTTTCTTGCAAACTGGATTATCTCTTCAACTGTTTTCAAGCCTCTTACATTTCATCTATCTTTTCACTCTTTCACTTTGAAATTCTCTATTACTAAGTTTCCGTAATTTCTCTAAACAAGTACAGCAGCCATTCTCACCATTTCTATCTTATTTCTCCAAACCTGCAATCACCATTTGAACTCCTTTTCACCCTATTTTCCATTTCTGTTTCACTGGGCTAATGATTATTCCCATTCTTTCAGTTCTGTCCAGCCTACTTTGCGAAGCAAGTAAAAACTAATTTTCAACCAACAAGGTTAGGGTTTTGTAGGCTTGTTTCCAGCTTGCTTAAGGATCCACTTCAGCTACCTAACTAGCGGTTGTTTGGGTGGTTTGCTGCATCATCTGGGTTTCATGTGCATATGTGGTCTTAGCTCTGAACATTACATGAATGTGAACCAACACAAGCTGATTCTATTGATCTTGTGTGTGAACCTAGGCGTGTGGTGAGTTATTGTAGATGTGAAACAAGGTGTGTGTGGTGAGTTATTGTGGATGCATTATCTAGTAGCTAAGTGACAAACCTAGGCATTGGTTTTTTTTTTCTTGATAGATAACCTAGGCATTGGTGTTGCAAATGTATTCATGATAGATTGAGTGATGGACAAACAATTATGCCTATAAATATGAGGTGCTGTAGAGGTTCAGTCCAAGACACAAGATAGAAGGCACAGGAGAGAACAAGAGAGAAAAAAGACACAAGAGAAGGAAGAAAAACTGGAAGGTTTGAGAGTTGATTAGGTGAATATAGAGGGAGATCTGTATGGGCTTCTGCAGCCGTACATCTCCATGGCTCCTAATTCTCTTGGTGTTGTGAATTGTAATCATATTATGCATTAAATGAAGTCTATGTTTGAGTGCATCCCTGAAAACAAGTGTTCAAGGCTTCTGTTGTGTGTCATTTGTTGATGTCTTTTTCAACAAAACTAATATTGGTATTAGAGCTCTTTTGTAAAACGAAAAGTGGTATGAGCATACGAAAGCTCCATGAAGCTCAACTACAAAACTTAGGTACAAAGACTGGCCAACATCCACCCTCCTCCCCCCTCCCCCCAAATACAATCTCCTTTTCCATTGCACGTCCAGCAATGACTAATTAAAAATCAGATGATTTCATTTAAATCCAATGGATTTTGGATAAAATCTATTGAATTGATATCAAACATCATCTACAGGCATTGATGTTCTTTTTAAACATGAGAAACTTGGTACCTTGGACTGCTGTTGCCAAAACAGACTCTATCCTCTTGTGGATAATTAATACTTGCATCGATATATTAGAATGACTATAAATTATAAATGATGTAAATTCAGTGTTACAAACCTGCAGATTATAATCCTGATTCCTGAAATTAAAAATATCAACTGTCAAATTCTGAGGAGTTGGTAACTAAAAGAATAGTAGGAAAGGTACATTCATGGCTGGCCACTTACAAACTCTTTTTAGGAAGGAACTACAATTTGTTTTTTTAATATGAAGATCTTTGTTTTGTAAACAGTTTTGGACTAATATCATAGCAATACTTGTCACTTCTTGTATATTCCCAATCTACAGGCCCTAGTTGTACAGGGGTCTGCTATTCTCTTTTTAATCAATACAATACCTTCTTAAAAAGTTAAAAAAATGTGACCTACACAAGCAGCTAAACTGTCACAGAGCAACTTCTAAGATGATAATCCATTTGATATCAAGACTACCAAAAAAAAAAAAAGGCAGTGTGCAGACTATATCATGGATCTTAGTTCTCATTCCAGAAGAGTTGGAAAACCCATGCCATATGTCGGACATTATATTACAAATTTACACAGCATGTTTTTTTTTTTTTTGATAAATGAGAGTAGTTTTATTAATTCACATAACGAAAGTACAGTCAGCCTAGGAGGAGGCACGAGGTGTTACCTCCCCCGAGGACTGAACCATAAACACTAAACATACACAAGCCTGAAACACAATTACAAAGTAGCTCAAATCAGATCTCCCCTTGACACCCCTTGCTTGGCCAGAGAATCAGCCATTATATTTGCTGATCTGCTGACCTACTGAAACCTAGCAGTCATATTTCTTATCAGCCATTTAACTTTCATTAGGGTTCCCTTTGGTTTGTTGGATGGGGATGAGAAAAAGGGAATATTCTAAAAATATTTTTTTTTTCTCTCATTTGTTTTGAGGGAAATAGGGGGATGGGATGAGAAAAAAGTGGAATGCAAGATCTCAAAATTGTGTAATCGGGGTTGCACCAAAACAGTGTGACCCCAGTGGAAAAACTCGAGAAAACTCAAGTTTCTTCATCCTCATCCTATGCCCCACCTTCACTTTCTCCTTCCCTTCTGGTAACCATCGCCGCTGCTACACCACCGTTGTTGGTAACCACCGCCACTACCACTGCTGGATTTGCCCTTTTACCTTCTGCCGCCATCACTGCTGCTGGTAATCACCGCCACCACCGCTGCTGGTAATCACCGCCACCACCGCTGCTGATAATCTGCTTTACCCGTCTACCTTCTGCCGCCACCACCGCTGATGGTAATCTCCTTCCTTTCCACCTTCTAGTGCTCGCAGACATAGATCATAGAACCTAAATCTGAGCTCACAGACACAGATTGAAGAGGTTTCCGCCATGGTAGAACCCAGATCGATGCAAACATAGATCGGAGGTTTTCTGCCATGGTAGAACTTAGATCTGGGTTTGCAGACATGGGATTCTAGTTTCGCACGAGGGATTCCAGTCTTGCATGACCCCCACCAAGGCATTCACTAGTGATGAAGGGAAATCAAACGACAGATTGATCTCTGCGGATTGAACCACTGAGAACTCTGTGGATTGTACCTTTGAGAACTCTGTTTTGTGATGTTAATTTTCCTACTATTTTTCCATATAAAACCAAACAATGGAAAGTTAAATTTTTACACTTTCTCATTCCATCGCATCCCATCCCATCTCATCTTTTCCCATCCCACCCAAATCTTCCCACAAACCAAACAAAGCCTAATAGATCCCTGTAGCCCCAACAAGCTGTTTTTAGACTTATCAGCTAGCCCATTACTACCTTGGAATCCCCTTCTACTATCAAATTGCTGCTTACATCTTGACATTACAGACGTTCAGAAAA